ATATATGTATATATGTTTATATATTATCCAGATGCAATATTTGTGTTGTATTACTTACACAACTTGTAGCTGTGATTGTCTGAGGGTTAGTTAAAGCAGTATTTCCATTGTTCACGCTCACCCAAACTTCCATAGTTCTAGAATAAATACCAAGAAAATACACCATATTACTTTATATGAATCAAATATATATATAGTAACTTTGATGTCTAAGAGCCTCTTAAGTGAACATCTCACTACAAATGATACATACTGCCATAAAAGGGTGACAGTAGGCACCAAAGGTGTCAGTTCATGCCACTATCCCAAGCCAAGGTGTGGTAAGCATTCAGCATGTCCTCTGGCAATCCATAATACAGTGTGAGGCCCTCACCTCACTTGACCTAATGACAGGATGCCACATTGCAATGCTTGATGCAAAGGAGTTGATTGTTCGAGCATGGTCTTTGAACTCAAGTCTAAATTTGCATATGGCTTGCACTTAGATACTGGTGCCTCTTGCTCTGCCAACCAATGGTAGGTCCTGGCAACTTGTAGAACCTCCCATCAGCTACCTATGCCAGCTTGTAATACAGTAATCGAAAAAAACAGAAGGTTGTAAGGGTTTCTGGAGGGGTGTAAATGACCGTCCAAGAGAGATATATAAAAATGATATACAATTTATTACTATTAAATACTTAATTGGTTACATACATGATTCAATTGAACTTATTAAAAATCAAATCCCTGCAGAGGATACATCAATACATTGATTATTTAACAACTCTAAAGATCATTGATCCAAACTTCCAGATGTAATTTCATAATTTGTTCAAAGCATAATTTAACTCAATAGGCCCCGGCGCGTTTCGCTTGTATGTAACCAATTAAGTATTCAATAGTAATAAATTGTATATCATTTTTATATATCTCTCTTGGACGGTCATTTACACCCCTCCAGAAACCCTTACAACCTTCTGTTTTTTTCGATTTATGCAATTAGGGGGAGAGGTGTAAAACTAGGCATACACAGGGGGACTACCCACAATTTAGCAATTGTAATACAGTATGTAGTGACAGGTTCCTTGGTGTCAGAAGGGTTCACTTATTCTGTGCTGCACTTTTTGAGGTAGTAGCCAGAAAAAGTCACAGAAGCATGTACATATAAGTTACTTTAAAAAAAAATAATAATAATAAAGATAGATAAAGATTATAAGTGTAATTACATACAACTGCATTCCATTACAAGTTCTTACAGTTTTTTTTTATATAAAACCATCTTCGTAGCCTGACCAGTGGAATCTTTCTGTGCTGGGCTATATGTATTTCTAGACCTTGTAACAGTCAATGCCGGCTGTGAATATAGACCTATAGTCTCCTCAGAAAACCGACCTTTTTAGAGGTCTAGTAGAATTCTACTTTCCCTACAAAATTTTTGTCTGATCATGTTCAAATAATATGCATTTACAAAATATGCAAAAAACAGCTTCAATGTGTTTATACATCTTCTTTACGGTAGCAGTATACAGTACAGTAAACTCCCTTCTCAGGTCCTTCTACATTGCCTTGTTTAGGTTGATTTAGATATCCTGACTGGATAGTCCAGGACCTTTCTGTTAAATAAGCAGTAAGTCCACACTAAAACATTAACCCCTTAATGTTCTAGGACACAAAAAGATCCACTGTTAAATAAGCAGGTGGTACCCTCTTTCTAAGTCGAAGATACCTTACAAAAATATTTGGATAGAGCACGGAAGAGTTACACCCTCTGCCAAGTTTGTACAAGCAATTTGCTAGTACCCACTAGGGAGATTGAAAGTAAGGGAAATCCCAAATTTTAGAGCTGTCTTGAGAGCAAAAATGAATAAATCTTCTAATGGGTACTAATGTTCTGGTGACAATTGTCTAAAATAGGTATTCCCCTAAATTTGAGCAGATTTCCCCTCACTTCTTGTTGTCTGTCCAGGACAAGATGTAAAAGGAAATTTCCCAAGTAACACATGGACATGGACCTGAAAGGAGTTTTAACCCTATCCTATGCTACTAAAATAAGCTTTGGCTACTGTGTACATATATTTTAAATGTGATAAAGAATAGGTCAATGACCTGATTATGCTATCTGTCTGCAATGTCTAATCACAAAACTGGCTAAACAGAAACTCAAATCTTGGTAGGTCATACAGATCACTGTAGTTATTTAAATGTGTATTTAATTGTGTTACTGGGTACACACTTTAACTCTCACTGATACAATTCTAGTAAATATAGGGTAAAAAAATTACAACACCAAGATAAAAAATTTGAATAGTAGCTACTTCCGGTCACCAATAAAGATTATTTGATATATTGCATATATTTAATATACTTTGGTCTATTCATTTTGTAGGAATTCTATCAGGGCTATTCACAAAAGGGTGAAGAGTTTGGAGAAGGCAGGAGAAGTGAACAATCTAGGAGTCTGCATTCTCCAAACTCTTCATATTTCCTGGAAGTGCCGGATCTCTATGTATTCAGCTTCGGTTCCACTCCCCACAAGTCCCTTTTGTGCACTCCTGGTCAGCTTCAGTAATATGGGACACCACTGAGCTAGGAGCAAAGCCCAGCCAGCAAATTATATTGAGAATGAACATTTAAAAAGACCGGCTGACAGCCCTAAAGTGTGTGAGTCCTGCAATCAGCCTTGTGACACAAAGATGATTATTATCAGGAATACAATACCTACTTTATTTTCTTAGGCACATTTATAAATTAACTTACTGTACGTCTGGGACAGAGTGAACACATTTAGTTAACACTAACTGACACACTTTCCCATCTATTACAAAATGTAGGCCTCCTAATCATAAAGAAAAAACGAACTTTATGTAAATTATGGAGTATTGTTGTTTAGAACAAAAAAGAAGAAACCTAGAAATGGATTGAATTAAATATTACTGTTATGAAGGAGACCGGTTTTGAAGTTGTAAGTATTTAATTATACAAGGTAGAAGTTTTACCTATTTCTCAATAACATAATGCATGACTGCATAGAATTTTTCATGAAATTTTAAAACGAACTGAGCAATATGTACCATTTTTTCTCTTCTGTCCGGTAGACAAGGCTACCATAGTAAACTGGACATGGCCTTTTGCCACATGCCTGATTAAGAATTTCACATCAAGTGAATTACAGTTGACATTTCAATCCACAGAAACCTATTTGCAAAGTATTCATTTGCTCCTTGTTTTACGAGTGTACAATAAAAGATTGTCATTTTATGATCCATTAAAAAAAGATGAAAAAATGTTAAATAAAATCATGAAAGACATTTGCTGAAAGTAATAAATAATTTACCTCTAATTTTCACACACTGAAAATTAAACTGGCAACTGTTCAAAAAGTTATTAAAATTATAATGACTGATATTTTGAAATCAAGCACCAGCACTAAAATGAATAAATTACGCCAGCAATTTAAAAAAAAAGAAAAATAATGGCAGCCTTGATTAGTGAATAGAAGACTGTTTGTAAAGAAGTTTTAGTATCCAATAGAGACCTAATGAATTCAAGTGAGCTGATTTAATAACTGTATAAAAAGAGAGCAGGTACAGTATAAGTGGGACTTATTTATTAAAAGTAAGGGAATGAAAATGTCTTTATTTCCTACCCAACCAAATTTCACAAGGGATGATTGTGTTGTAGGGCAAAACTGAGGAGACTTACATGTTTAAGTGTAGATACTGTAGATAGAGTATTTAATATTGCAATCCACACCATGGCCACAAATAGCAACATAGGGCAGATGAAATGCAAGTCTAATTTGCTCTGTGCTTATAAATAATGGGTTTAGATCATTGTTAAAATGAACGAGGTCCTTTGAGACTGTATAGAACAAGCTACAACCAGCATAACTGGCAACTTACAATATAACATACGTCACATACAGTAGATATGTAGCACATTTAAAAACCCATGCAGCCCAGCCCTAAATCATTATTAATATGGCGAACCTGTGAAGCATATTTATGTGGCTATTTGTGACTCATGCATGTGTGTATTTTGTGTCATATTCCTCCTATTCAAGAAATCGTATGATCTCTTGATTTAGCAAGAAAAGTAGTGGTAGTCAGTACTGTTCCTGGGTTACTTTAAGCCAGCCTTTCTCAACCAGCGTTCCATGGCACTCTGGTGTGCCTTCTGGCTTTCTCAGGGGTGCCTCAACATATTCACACAAAGTCATGCCTTTGTGAATGAGGGTGTTCCAGATGTGAAGGGCGGTGTTTGTGCTCCTCCTTTAACATACCAACCCCGTATCTTATATAAGGGTTTGTTATGGATTTTTGAAGGACCACATGTCAGTTTTTACATTAACCATTTTTACATTATAGACTAGGGTGGCTCAAGAATTTGCATACATTTAGAGGGTGTCGTGACTTTAAAAAAAAGGTTGAGAAATGCTGGTTTAACCCACCCAGGACTGATATTTCACATTTAACGTTAATTATGAGCCAATACTAGGCCACATGACCTATAGTTGCAGCTTTTCTGTGGTACTGGTGAGTGCTAGGGTTAAAGTTCAGACTGGGGTGTCATAAATCTGTTCATGTGTAAAGCCTTTAGAAAAGGATTTTCTTCAGACCTTAATTTCCTTGTCTCCTCTTGCCCTGGCAAAGCAAAATTCATATATGCTTATAGCCTGCAATGTCTATAGTCAGATACTACACAAAGAGAGAGAGAGACTATAACCAACAGAATCCTCAAGACAAAAATAAACCATATAAATTAAAAGAGTTTTACTCACCATTATCTAATAAATCTGAAATGCAAGTTGTGAGCGCACTAAACCTTTAAATTGATATTTAAAAATGCATACTTTTCCCCCAAAAAATACCATTTTACTGAAATGCTAAATATTGGAAGGTCTTAAAGTTGGCTTACTAAAGAAGCTATTTGTACCAAACCCTGACCGTGTCATAAAAAATAATAATTTAACTCCTGATCACTTAACCGCCCCGGCGGTATGATTATGCAGGATTTTAGCATGCCAAAAGCGGTACATTGTTTCTCATGGCAATTTGTTGTTTTATATTGTAGGCCTATAATTCTTAGTAAATCTTAGGAAGAACTCACCTAAATTTGTCCAAACAAGAGTCCAGTAGACATTCCGGGTATGATAAAGTTTGAAACACGAAATCATAAATTATAATATAATAATAAAAAATTGCCTAGTAAATGGGAATTCTGGGGGCACTGCCTGATCTGTACCACAGTCAATAGAGTACCAAGTTCCCACATCACTGAGCTTGGTCGCAGAATCGTCGCTGTCGTCACTTTCAGTGTCTGATGACGAATTTCCCAACAAACTGCTATAGCTCAATTCTGCAAGTGATTCTAATTTACTATCGCTGTTTTCTACCTGGTCTAAAACTGCTTTTGACCTAAAGGGACGCTTTTTGGATGCCTGGACGTTCACATGTTTCCAGGCAGAAAGAACAGTAAAAGTGCAGGCAGGGCACTGGACAAAGCTTTAGGGACAAAATTGAAGTGAAATAGTTTGATACATAAATGTAATAATGGCAGATTACATTGTAATGTGTGTATTCTGTGTACATTGCAACTTTTCACTTTTGAATTTCCCTCCGGCTCCGCCCCCCGCTGTGACGTTGAAAACGAAAGTAAAAGTCACATGCCGGCATCGGCCGGCCGCGTACAGCAGAGGACACTGTGGGCTCGTAGGTAAGTGACGCTTTTGTGCAATCCTGAGTGTGGCTCGGGGTTACCGCTCTTGGTACTGAAAATAAACCCCGAGCCACACTCGGGAATACCGCCAGGGAGGTTAATTCTCACCTTTACCAGTGCCCACCCCACCAAACACTGCTCCACTCACTAGTTCTTAAACCTTGAAATCTGCTGGGAAACTGACACTTCCAGGAGTGTTGATCTTCTGGGTCCCTCTAAGCACTGGGTCCTCCCTCCGATCTTATGTCACTGTAAGATACAGTAGGGACATGAGATCAGAGGGAGAAACCAATGAGAGCTGTGAGGGACCCAGAAGATTGAAACTCCAAGAAGTATTGGTTTGCCAGCAGATTTTGGAGGATGAGATTTCATGAACAGAGCCACGTTCAGAGGTGTGGGAAACAGTCAGTATTTACTGCAATTCTTTTTGCAGGTTTAAAATATTGTAATTTTAAGTTCAGTGAAATTTTCATTTTGTTTTAAATTTCACTGAACTTAATTATTAAGTATTTGACATGAACTATAGCTAAGATCAAACCTAATGATTTTGTAACTCAGCCCCATTAATAATTTCCAATAAAAGTACATCATAAAGATTAATAATAAACTTCCCTTAGAATATGTCCCTGTTTGTAGACACGTAAGTTATTAAAGCTGAAAACGTTCCAGTCGGCCATAAATACCAGCACTTTGAGATTATTTAGCTGGCTAAGAGGCAGTCTGTTTAAGACTGCTCCTCCAGTGTGCCGTTAATTATTTAAATGCGGAGAGCAGGGTAAATGATCACCACATCTGTCACCCACACAGAGATAACCCTCACTCGTTGCGGGACCAGATGTGTTTATTTTCAACATGCACTAACTACAAGCTACTTAATGTGTTCCAATCCTTAGCCAAAAGTTAATTAAGCAAACATACCAAACATTAGTTATCTTACATGGCAGTCCTTTCTATCGTTTTATCTTGAACTCTTTAATCAGATCTCTCCAGGAATTTAAGAGGCGTGACAATTATAACCCCAACAGAGCACAGCTATTTTCCTAATAGTTCCTATGTCTTTAGACCATCACCAGTCACCATAAGTAAACAAGATCATAATATACAGTATGCACTTTTAATTTAACCAAATCAGGCCCAGATTTTCTTAACTAATGTAGATCCTCAACGTAGATATTACTGACTATAGGACGGCCATACTAAAGAAAAAGGGAGGCTACCATTCCTTTAAAAAGCTAGATGCTTAGCGGTCTCTAGCTTAGATACTTCCTAAGTTACTAGTATTAAAAAGTCATAGTGAAGTCAGAATGCCAGCTCGAAATATTTGTACTGGATCTGTGACTCAAAAAGTATTAGAAAAACAGGATAGCAGCAGGGCAGCTAATATTTTTAGAAGACATTTTCCTGCAATGACAGCCTCCATGTTCTCTCACTTTAGGTTACTTTAAAGGGAAAATGTTTGTAGTTCAACCCTATCATAGTTGTTTTATAAGTTTTTAGAATGTTGTTTTATATCTGTTTTTTTTTACTATATAATTTCACTCTTTGTGTTACAAATAAGCATAAAATACAAGACGAAAATGTACATAGCACTATAGGCTAGCTAAAAAGACAGCGCATCAGTGGATGCCTGCTTTAAGACTTCATTTGTCTGACCTAAACATGGGATAAGTCACTATTGATGAGTCATCCACTTCTGTGTGCAAATATCAGCTGGAGCTATTGGGATCTGTAAATAACAGGCTTTTTGCTTTGTAATAAGCAGCACAAAAGCATCTGCTATCTGCTGGCGCAAAAACAGAATGCAAAATAGAAATGTTCAATATTTTATAATTACCCCCAAAAATTAAATTAAAAAGTAGTCCTGAACATAAAGATATTAATCATGTAGCAAGCCACCACTGCAAATACGCTTCATATCCTTTAGGTATATCTTTCACTTTGCTCTAATTACTTGATTTGTATTGTACATTCATGTATTTTCATATTCCAAATATATTTAATCTTTTATAACTTTCTTTGCAACTAAAGATGGCCATACATGTTGCAATTTAATTGTAAAATGTGCACAATGCAGTAACATTTAGGGGTCTATTCACAAAACTGCCGTAGGCAGCCAAGTGAATAACCAACCCGAAGTGAAGTGTGACGAACGCTGTTCGGCTATACACTTCAGGCTTGTATGGCTGATTTCAGCCGTATATCGGCTGAAATGAGCCGTAGATCGGCTTGCACCGGCTGGCTTCAGGTTGGCCGAACATGCTGTCAGTAGCAGGCCGTTCGGCCAGCTTCAGCTTTCACCTCGGCTCAGTCGAGCCGAGGCATATGTCTTCGGCTCGACTGAGCTGCTCGGCCAACTTCGGGAGCTGTACGGGCTACAGGGAATAGCCCGTACAGCAGCCCTTCGGTTCTACTAAACCGAAGGGGTCCTGGGGCCGAAGCTAGCCGAAGGATCAGCCGAAGCTACGGCTAGATCCTTCGGCAGCTTTGTGAAAAGACCCCTTAGCAAGCAAATTACTCTTTGACTGCTGAAATACGAGCTAATCCATCCAAATTACTAAAGACCACCACAATGGAGCTATAGTTACAGCTCTAGACACACAAAGAGAACAAGCAACATTCCTGGTGATTTATATTTTGTCTGTAGATTACCCTTAGGATTGGTTCATACCTGGGTGTTTTACAGCGCTGATCGACACGCTGTAAAACGCTCAGCAAGTGAAATCCCATTATTTCCTATGGGCATGATTCCCACCTGGGCGTATTTCAGCGCGTAGGAACGCGCTGAAAAACGCCCTACGCCCAAAGAAGTACAGGAGCTTCTTTGGGGCGTTTTTCTGCGTGTTTCCATTGGTATTTCCTACTGTGGATCGTGGGTTAACAAAGCGGTAACCCCGAGCCACACTCGGGAATACAGCGTACAGGTCTTACCTTGTCCGCGATCCCCGCTGTGTCCTCCGGTGGCTGCCGACTTCCGGGTTCCGTCCCTTGCGAGAGGCGCGTCGCAGGGGGACGGAACCGGCGGGAAGTTTAAAAGTGTAGAAAAAAAAAGAAAATATTGAGAAAATAACAAGGAAAAAAAAATCATTATGCCAGTGAAACGCGCATTTCACTGAATGGAAAAACGTGCTAAAAAACGCGAAAAAAACGAGCAGAAAAAATACGCCCAGGTGTGAACCCAGCCTTAAGGAAATAAACTGTAACTATATTAAATAAAAAGTAATTATTTAATTGGCTAGATTTTGTTTGAGATTTTTATCTTCACTAGTACTTTTTTTTTAAATTCATGTCAATTTTACCATATACCCTGACTACCATGCTTTGTAGCTTTTGCATGACATGCAAGCTTTATGTGCTAAATTGAGCGTCACTCCGAGATACTCTGACTATACGAGATAATCACATATCTTTTAATAAGCAAAGAGAGAATTTGAAAAATACATACTGTCCAACCTCCTCAAGTACTGTAACTGGGCAAAGCATATAGTGGTCTTCCACTGTTAGTGGTTTTTCATCTGTGGATAGAAAAACAATGTTAAAAATTAGAACAAGGTTGTAAAAAAATGTAATTGCAAAAAAAAATTAACGAATTAAAAAGTGAATGGCAACAAGGTTTATTAATATCCAGCACATTTATTTAACCACATTTTTGGTGAGGCATAAAGAGCATTGGGATAGTTCTTTCTCACTCAAAATGGATATTTCATGTAAGCTCATACTAGTATTTGGCAAGCTTCTCCAAATTCCTTACAGAACCCCCTATCATTCCCAGTGTCTTCTCATTTATTTCCATGCTCTATGAGAAGTTCAGATGTTAGGCTTATCTCTCTTATATCAGGTTACACTATTGCGAGATGCTTCTTCTCAGTACTAGTCAGAGCTTTCATTAGTCACAACATGGACAGATTGCTTGAGCTTATTTATCATCCAGGTATGTTTAACTGCGGTGGCAGTCCTCACCTACTCTCTGCACGTCATGAGTAAAAGGCAGGCTTGGCGGCTTGGAGAATGGCCATGTTGACATTGCATGCTGGCCACGCTGATCTGTTACGTGTGCCAGTGTACATGGAGGCCGGGACTTTCAGTTTGCTGTGGCATGGCTTCCATGACATAATTTGAAATTTTGTAAATCATTCTTAAATATGTACACGATACCCCACCATCCAGGCACTTTATTATGATCCGATTGGACACTCATAGATGGGGGGAAAATGGGCGGAGTGTCCTCTGGTCATTGCTGTGACTAACCAATGGCAATAAGATAATCCATTACATTATTCTATATGTATATATATATATATATATATATATATAGTGAGCAGGCAATTGGTAGTTGGTACATAAGCCCCCAGGGAATAAGCAGTCTCTTGAGCACAGATACCAAATCCAAGGGAGTAGTGGACAACAGAGCAGTGTTTATTGGTGATAGTTACTCTACAGGTGCTGTACAGTGGTTCACCAAAAAAGACTAACAAAATAACATTTTGTTATCTACAGTAGTCGGTCACATGTGCTTTCCACTGCTGTAGGCAGTCATAACGCTTTAGCTAATTGGCTGTGTTTACTAAAACCTGACATGCACTCTTTTTCAGTGGTATGGTGACCAGTAAAAAGGTTGTGGCATTTAACATGATTAGTTTTAGAGTCTGTTGGGGATAAAAGTTAACACCTCCGTGCAGGTTTAACACATGTACTGTATATGAATCAGCTGGCCCACTGTACTGTGCTGAGAACATGTTCACTAGTATGCTCTAAGCACAATGACTGAGTTGTCACTGACAGTTCCTTGTCGCTGTTTACAATTGTGAGCTGGTAGGATGGGCTCTCGATTAAATGACAGCTGTAACAACCAATCACAGTGATCACATAATCGGGAAGCCTCCTCCAATGCCCAGCCTTAGGATCCCCTTAAAGGACTGCTGGAAGTTTGCAGTAAGACGTTTAGGAATTAGACTGTAAGTGACAGGGATGAAGTTTCAACATTAGTTTCAAAGACATTTCCGGTACTTGAATTTCTGAGCATGTGCAGTTGAAAACCACTCTGTATATTTACTGAGGCTTTTTACAAATTGCATGTAAAAAACTTTTGCATGCAATTTTATTCCTACATGGTATCCACATTTTAAAATGGCAACAGTGGCTAGATAAGCTCAATAGAGCTAATCACATTTTTCTTTTAGACATATTATGTTTTAGCAGGCGTTTGCCCAGATGCTGGAGTGTATATTTAATATACTACAACCTTTGTTAGTAAATCAAGCATATATACTCTGTAACTTCAGCATGCATTGCAGTTGCATAAGCAATTCAATATAATTTACTTTTTTGTGCATGATGAACATGCTGGAGGATATGCCTATCCTTTAGTAAATTAAGCCCATTGCGTCATCAGGCCTGTATCATAATATTTAGAGTTCAAGACTGTTCAAGGCTATACAATGATGTTACTAAGTAAACTGCAACAAATTATTGTACAAGCCAGACCGAATAACAGATGATAACGGGATTGTCCCAATTAACCTGTTAAATCTTGGATACTTGACTTGCCATGCTTATTTAGTTAACCAGTATTCCAGTCTATCATCCAACCGTGCCCAGGGCTAATATAATTTTTTTTCTATTCCCTTAACCCTTTCTCACTTGAGCAGCTCCTGGCTTTCAGTTCTGCCTGTCACTGACAGTTTGGGTCAACACTGATAAATGGGAACCTACCAGATTGGTTCCCGATCATGTGATCACTATGGGGTCTATTCACGAAGCTGCCGAAGGATCTAGCCGTAGTTTCGGCCGATCCTTCGGCTAGCTTCGGCCCCAGGACCCCTTCTATTCACAATAGCCCCTACAGCTCCCGAACGTGGCCGAGCGGCTCAGTCGAGCCGAACGCATATGCATCGGCTCGGCTGAGCCACACTGAAAGCCAAAGCTGGCCGAGCTGATCTTACTTCTGGCTCCGGCCACTTGCAGAGAGATCAGCGTCCCTGGTTACCTGCTAACCAGGGACACTGATCTCCAAACAGCTAACTCTCCCTGGCGCCCCGGGAGTCTCCTGCTCCCGGCCGCCAAGGAGAGAAACACTGCTGTTTCTTTTTTTTCTTTATTCTGACACGGAGCGATGTCAAAATAGAAAAAAAAATTATAATTTTCCCATTGAAATACATTGCTACATTACTATTGGCTTTTTCAATTTGCAATAGCCAATAGTAAACTAGCATTGTACCCGCCTTCTGCTGCAGTTCTCCATCAGGTCCATCAGCAGAGGGTGGATAGCAATGCATTCCAATGGGAAATATATATATATTTTTTTTCTATTCTGAAATCGCTCCGTGTCATAATACAGAAAAAAAAAGAAACAGCAGTGTTTCTCTCCTGGGCGGTGCCCGGGAGAGTTTTTTTTCTTTTTTTTTTGACGGCAGCAGACGGCTGCTGCCGGACAATAGGAAACTATTGGACGGAGCTAGCTGTCACTGCTAGCTCTGCACAATCGTTTTCTATTTACTTTTTTAAAAACTTTAAAAACTATTTTTCTGTTCTGCTCGGGCCCTCTGAGGGACCGAGCAGAACAGCCGAGCCGAATGGCACTCAGCTATTCACTCACTGCTGTTCAGCATCTATAAGGATAGGCCGAACAGCAGTGAGTAGCCTGCCGGATGTTGGATCGGCTGAGTCAAACTTCTTCTGCACTTTGGGTCAGCCGAACATGCTGAGCATGTTCGGCCGACCCGGAGCCATGTGAAGCAAGCCGATGTACGGCTGAAATCAGCCGTACCAGCCTGTAGTGTATAGCCGAACAGTGTTCGGCTCACTTCACTTGGGGTCGGTTGTTCGGTTAGTGAATAGACCCGTATGTCACCTATGACATACTGAGCACATACAGGCTGAGGGCTTCATTGAAAAAAATAAAAGCTTTTAGCCTGCAGATGAAGTAGGAATCAATGTCTGGGCATTAATGATAAATGGATATTAAAGGGTTAAGGTAAGAGTTTTTTTTCTTTTTTTTTTTGACGGCAGCAGAGCCGCCGGACAATAGGAAACTATTGGACGGAGCTAGCTGTCACTGCTAGCTCCGCACAATCGTTTTCTATTTACTTTTTTTTAAACTTTTTAAACTATTTTTCTGTTCTTTTAGCCTGCAGATGAAGTAGGAATCAATGTCTGGGCATTAATGATAAATGGATAATAAAGGGTTAAGGTAATTGAGTTTTTGAAACAGCAAAGGTTCACAAGGCTAGTGCAAATGTTAACCTATTAACAAACCACTCTTACATATCTTCAAGACAGTTCAGACATTAGTCTACGAAAAAAGCTCAAAAACAGGATAGTGGTTTGTTTTACAAATTTCCATGAGACAGCAGACCTTCTGTCAGCAAATGTAATAAAAAAAATCCTGTTGGTCAACTTCTTACAGAAATCAGTACAAAAGTTTATTATGGTCAACTAGAGATAAAGCAATGATGTCCTTGGCTTCTTACAAACATTTGTGTCATCCCTCATGTGCTCTAAATACTCTGAATTTCACCCTGTCCAATATAATAGCCATGTGTTTTTTATTACTGCTATCAAGGTAGCTAAATATATAATTGTGTAACTTGGAGCTTAGCTCTGCAACAGGCAAATGTCACTTTTACAGTTAAGCTGTTTAATGCTGTGCTCTGTTTCCCCCGTGGCTTGAATATTTGTATGTACTTACGTTTTGTTGTCTTGTTCACGTGGTATGCGCACATGACATTATCGGAAGTCCGGCCAAACGAAAATCCATTCCCTCTTAAGACCACTTGAAATGTCTCTAGATGAAGATATACATTTTCATGTAATCAGACTGGATACTTTCCATTAATATCACATATAAGAGATAAAGCATTTAGGCTATGACAGTGTGCAAGGTATTTTCTATATTATGTACTGAAATGGCTTGAATTTAACATCATTTAGGCCTCATTCACACTGCCGTATAATACGCTGCACATAGATGCACGCAGCATTTTTCCCCATATGCAGCATATGCAAATAAATACGCATATATACGAGCAAATACATTTACAAATATGCATACAATTTTGCTCTTGCGTTGTGTGTGAATAAGGCCTAACTGGTAGAATTGGAATTCATTTAGAGCCATTATTGAAAGCCTTTAATTTGCTTTGAATTAGTTTTGTATTCCCATACGAGCTGATGGGAATGAAAAACCCACTTGAAGCAGGTCCAATTCAGGTCACGAAAAGGTCAACTGCAGGTCAAATGCACCAATGTATGATCTCAGAAGCATCTCAAACCAATCTCAAACTGATGCCATTGGTCCAAAGCCCATCAGCACAGACCCTAAAAGAGACTGATTTACAAAAGGGTTGAACATATTTGCACAATACATTGTGTGAATATTGATATAATTTATCTGATCTTATCAAAGAAAATGTTCCTGTTCACTTTAAATACCCAATCACGTGAAGATGAAAGCAAACAGGAATTTTCTATTTTACTGGGTAATTGAAGTGGATATTCACATAATTTATTGTGTCAGGATTTTACATTTCTTTAGTAATCAGATTTTTTGTCCATAGATTAAAAAAGGAAAACTAATGGAAGTATAGACACTTGAAGTAGTTGCACGTTATACTGTATCTGCAGCAGAATTTCTCTTTTTGGTCTAGAGGGTATACTTATAAAGCAGTGAATGTGATACTACAAACATTCAGTGCAAGTGTATCTTCCTGGTGCATGTGTTTGAAATGACTGTGATTAATTCACCTGCAGTAAATGTTTGTTAAATGTCACACTCTCTACTGTATTCATATTTTCCTCTTTATGTTTATTAGCTCTAAAGAGTATGTTGTGCAAAGTGTGGTAAAACACAGATATGATTCTAATACGTTGTTGTGGGTTACAGTATTTTGACTGTATTATTGCCCTTAGTGCTTTAATACTAAAAATAAAAAAACATAATTGTGAATTTCTTTGCCATTTAAATAGTATTAATAGATTTAAAATACATTTATGGTGTTGTTTATGTTGTACAATCTGTGGGGTTAATTTGTGTGCAGTGAGTTATTGGTTCCATTAGCCATGTGAGTCTCTTGCTATTGTTGTTTACACTTAAAGGAGAACTATGGGGTAAGTATTTTTCAGTATATCGTGAGCTACATTACTGTTGAGATCCACCCATCTTCGTGAGTGACAGCGGGCTCTGCCTATCTAGAGGCAGAGCCAGCTGAACCCGCCCCCTCCCCCATCCATTCCGCCAGTCAGCACTGGAGGATCAGAGCGGGGAGGTGGAGAATCCCTGCAGGGAGCCATGAGTGACAGTCACAGCTCTCTGCAGGGAGATGATTGAGAAGTGAGCAATCAACGGTATGTGTTCGCTCACTTCCCGATCTACTGAACCGACCTGTGGCAGTTTCATTGTCACACGTCGGCTTGAACTATGAGGATGAGTGAATATCACTCACCTCATAGTTCTCCTTTAATTATAATATTGATTTTGCCAAACCACGCCTGTGTACAATGTGTGTTTTCCTCCATATTAACAAAGCTGCACACATTTTCTTGTGACATTCAACAGCGACACCACTAAAAGACATGATAACAAATTGGATATTAACCTATTTAAAAGAGGATTCTATTTGAAGCAAGGGCAAATCAGGACTCTTCTTCATTACCAACCTTTTCTATGTATCATTTTTTATTACAATCAATAATTAAAATGTTTATTGTGTATTATTAACCAACTGTTCAAATGTAACCTTATTTGTGGACACTCTACCATATTTGATGGGATTTATTCTGCATAGTTAAATTCTGAAGTTCAAAATGAACTTGGCTCCAAAACATTCAATAAATACAGAGAATTCATATGTTTTTAGCACAATGCCTTAAAAACATCTGGAATATTGGGGCCATGAAGTACAGCCATAATTTAAGCCAGAAAATATCATGCTAAAATCAGATATTTTTTCCCCCTGTTTTAAGAAAAAAAACAGGAATATAAACGTTCATAACGTTGCTCATATTCCTATAGTTATTGCCTTATAGTAGGGAAGGTTTACAACCTCTGTAAGTTCATTTCTTGTCTCTGCCCTGTTGTGGAGATTTCCCTTCATTCCCCAAAAACAAAACAGGAAGTTATAGGAAATTTAGTGAGGGTGCATCCCCCTTAGACAGCTGTCTCTAGAATACATGACCCAATTCACAAATTTACCCTGACTTTTTTGTTCTGGTGACAACCCTAACATTTTGAATTTTTCATCACTTACCCATCATTAGGTCAAACAGAGATGGTGAATTCACCACACAAAAACAGAGAGCATTAAAAACCTAAAGTATAAGAATTGACGTGCCAAACCACTGCCTAATAGTCCAGATAGTATTTGTTCTATTCTGTTAATAAAGCACATGTTTCATCAGCATCTGGTTTAGCAGCAGTGTATATTAACATACAACAAATACTATCAAATCTCCAGATAAAATCAGAACTACCTTTACACTTTGTCTAGCAATAAAGATCTAACAGGAGTGTTAATGCTCCCGTTCTCTATGCAAAACTACAAGAAAATTGGGCTATACATCATTAGCTCATCAGTGCCTTTTTCATTTTGCTACATCCTTTAACTCTGCTTACCCTGTCTAAACATCTGGAAATCTATATTATCTGCCATTTCAGCAGCCAAGACATGGAATAAAAGCACTGGACCTGAAAGGTTTCATTCTAATGGTGCGGCTGACCAATTATGATGTGAAAGAATCAGCATAGGTGATCTGACTACCAGACAGGCAGTTTCTACATTTCAGAAGATCTCTGCTGTCTCCTTGGTTTGTAGTATTAAATTACAGATTTGTGAATTGAAGTGACACATTCCATTTAAAAGTCCACATACAGCTTTATTCCATATAGGCTTAAGGGTACAGTACAGAACATGTTTCGGGATGCATATAGATTCCCCTTTTATCGGGACTTACTAATGGAGAACATAAATCAGCGATAACTTGAAATTGGATACCGTTTTGTCCAGTTTGTGGACAAAATGGTAGCCAACACTGGACAGTGTATTCAATTTTATGCTATCACAATCCTCATACATGTTCTCCCTTAGAAAGCCCTGATGAAATGGGTATCTATATGAACCACGAAACACACTGGCTATTTGTATACTGTCCCCTTAACCCTACATTTAATAACAATGTATCTGGACAATTAAATGGAGTGTGGCGCTTAGGTTCACAATCCTGTAAGCCACAACAGAGAGGAGTTTAATCCAAAGAAAGATTACAGGCTTTCTAACTTAAAGGAGGACTATGGGGTAAGTTTTTTTTCCCTATAGTTCTCCTAAGGGTCACGGGAGGACATAAACTAGCATCCTCCCGTGACCCAAAGCTCAGTATATCGCGAGTACACAGCTCGCGGTATACTGAGACCGCCGCAGCCATGACGGATCCCGACATGACTGTCAAGATCCACCCAGCTGCGTGAGTGACAGCTGGCTCTGCCTATGTAGAGGCAGAACCAGCTGTACCCTCCCCCGTCCGTTCCACCAGTCAGCACTGAATCCCTGAAAGTCACTGCTCTCTGCAGGGAAGTGATCGAGAAGTGAGCGAGCGACGGTATGCGTTCGCTCACTTCCCGATCTATTGAGCCTGATGTGTGACAGTTTCATTGTCACACATCGATTTGAACTATGAGGTTGAGTGAAAATCACTCACCTCATAGTTCTCCTTTAAGTTCTCAAGTTTCTTAAGCACAGCACAGATAATTACTGGCCAGTGATCAGGGGGATAAGTGACTATGTACCTCTGCTAAGCAAAGCACTAAGTAGTTTCATGAATGACCTGCGGTGTTCCCTTTTGTATATGTCATGAAACTTTTTAACATTTGGCTCAGATTGTACAAACTTGACATGCATATACTAGCATACTTTTGGAGCAAGAGGAAATAAGACTCCTAAGAACTATAAATGTATAGTACTGTTCTGCAATTTCCCTTGTGATTTGGCCTACATTCGAATGTTTATCTCTACATTCACCTGTCACCATCACATATCTGTGCTGTTAAAGTAAATGTTTTAGTCAGAAAATCAATCATCCCATTTCACTAGAAACATACTCATCCACCAAATCCCCAGGAAATATTAAATAGAAGAATTGATGCTTTGCTTATGGAGCAAAACAAACAAACACAGCTCTTGAAAACTCACATCTGACATTTGTATCCTGTTAAATATATTCCTCTAACAAATAATCAATCCACTTTGTCCTGTGCCACAAAGTGCCTACCTATTATATAAGCTGGAAAATAAAAACTTCAATATGCCTGCAATACACATAAATGCAAGGTGCCATTGTTGTGAAAGCTGAGCATGTCTCCATTAAATAAAATAGCAAAATATTTGAAAAATGCATCATTAACCACTTGCTGACCAGGGTGTTAAACTCCCTTCCTGGCCAGGCCATTTTTCAGTGTTCAGCACTGCGGTACTTTGACTGGCATTTATTCCATCATGCAACGCTGTACTGAAATTAAATTGATACCATTTTTTGGGGACAGATAGAGCTTTCTTTATGTGGTATTTAATCACCACTGGGATTTTAATTTTTTACTATTTTGCTGTTTTTAAAAAAAACTATTGTCCCTATGTTATGTTATAAAACATTTATTATTACCCAATTTTTGGGTAAAATATAAAAGACGGGGTCACATCAGGTAAATGGACAGCAAACATATCAAGCTTTAAAATTGCATGCGTCCACAAAATCACTAAAATTGGCCATAGGCAACGCTTTAAAAGCTTTTACCGCTCATCAGTTTAGTTTTATGAGGGATTGATGGACCTAGAATTATTGTTCTCACTACGATGTTCATGGTGATATGTAACATGTGTGGCGTATTCATTGTTTCTGGACGTAGGTGCACCTGACACGTATTTACGTGTATAAGTGCATGCGCACGGTGGCAGGGAACGTAAAACTATTTTTGGGTGGTTTTTTTTTTATATGAGACTTTCATTTTTTTTTTTTTTTTTTTTTTTTTTCTTTTAACTGTTTT